CACTGGTAGGAAAGGAAGGAGGAAAACGTGGAAAAGAACGAGGGAATGAGAATGGAAGGAGAAAGGAAAGGAGAACAAGAGGGAAGGAGAAACGCTGGCTTCCTGGCTCTCTTGCCCCTGCTCTTCCCAACAAACCACAGCTGCGTGGCTCAGCCAGTCACAGGAAGGCTTGGAAATGGGAACCTGCTTGCAGGACCCTCACAAAACCAGACACATAACTAATGGGTAGAGTCAACCCCAATGTGGTTCCCTCTGCATTGCTACCCTGGTCAGGGTCCGCTTTCCGTACACTGGTGTAACGAATGCCCTGATAATGGTTGGGGTGATGGATTACAGAGGTATCTCCCTATTGAGGCCCAAATATGCCAGAGACCAAGAGCTTGTTCATCTCAAGCAAGTTCAACTCAGACATTCAGATGCCTCAAGATATCTCGCGTGACCTTGTCCATGAACTACAGGGAGCAACAGAACAGATTTTCATTATATTTCCCAGATGAAGAAGAGGGGTGGGGGGGGGGGGAATTGCGTCCTGGAAGGCAAGGTGACAAACAACCATGTAGAAAGCAGAGAACCAAATATCAGCTCTTGACTTTAAACGTATCACTCTTTCCAGGTCACTATGAGGGTCCCTTGACCCACTGTGAATGACAAGTTGGCATTTAGTTACAACTGCATCTTCTTATTCCCTCCTGCAACTTAAGGACCATACATGGCATGTGGAAGAAGGGTGGTGTTCGTCTGTTCCTTCTGACGTTCATAATCATCTGTCTGAACCAAACAGCACATGGTCATGCCCTATAGTCAGCAAAGGTTGCGAACAAGGGGACCTGAGAAACCTTAAGAATTGTGTGTCTCGTGTTAAGAGATTCAAGTTCACTGACCACATGAGCCCTGCGCGTCGGCACCTCTCCTAAAATTGTATCATGTGACCACACAGTCACATTAGCACTGAACATCTTCACTTTTCAAATGAGACAAAACAAGCTGGCCCAACAGCTACAGACGAGGGATCAAGCAGGAAGAGGAAGGACAAAAACCATTCTCCACCCAGCTTTTCCCTCTCTTGTCTTCTAACACTGAAATCATGAAGAGTGTTCTGTGGCTACCCTAGCTATTGCAAAGACTAAATGAGACAAGCAAAGTAAGCAAGAATTTTAAGAGACAGATTTAGAATACAAATGAAGAATTCTCTTTTATTTTATAATGTTATGGTTCTTCCTTAGCTTAAACTCTGTGTCTGACCAGCTAGCTCAGCCTCATCGGGTCATTTGTTCAGATTTTTCTTTGCCAGTGAATTATTGACAGAATTTTGGGAACAAGCAGAGTATTAATAGCATTAAGCTATTCTGCATAGAGTCCCCATACTTCCCCTCTCCTCCTGAATGAGCTTCTCCCTCCAGATGGGGCCAGTCTGTCTCAACTGGAGCAGTCTGAAGAAACAGGAGATGTCTCCCTGACTTCCAGGACACACAGCAACATCAGTACATCCAGGGAGCATTTAAATGAAGACAAAATAGTGATGTAACTGTGTATTTTGCCCAGTCTGAAGAGTTGATTCCCTGCAGATGTAGGAGCCTGGGCACGTAGAGCCGTGGTTGTGAAGACCATGCACAGGACAAAGGAAAATACGTGGAGGGAAATTTCCAATTGAGAGCGAACAAGACGAGAACTGGACAGAGAGACAGAGAAAGGGACAGGAAAGGCAGACATGCAGGTGATGAGACTAAAGAACCTCCAACCATCTGGGCCACTCGGCCTTAAGCAGCTTTCTTCTGACGAGTCTTAGCACTTCAGGAAACAGTACTCCTTTGAACACCCTTCTCTTACAAACAAGTAGGCGCGCACACATGCGCACCAATTGCCAGGTCCTGGGAGGGGAAGGTCAGAGCCTTTCAAGGGATCCTCTCACTGACCATAGAAAACCAAGATGAATCTAAAACATCTGTCTTACTCAGCATGGCCTTCAGAGCAGCAATATTGACGAAGAAAAGAGAAATCTACAGGGGACTGGGCTACATGGGGGAAAAACTTACGTAATAATGATTTTATCAATAATCTTAGGTCTAGGCTAGGCAGATAAATAAGAGATAGTACGTGGTAGAGAGACGACAGATAGACGATAGATAGAGAGGTAGATAGATAGATAGATGATACATACATACATACATACATACATAGCTGCATAGATAGATATCAGCTAGTCTTTCTGTTTTGCACAGAATAATTGTTGTAATGGAAACCTGAGTTCGCTGTCTCAACACAATATCCTGTTAAACAACCCCAAGTTGGAGAAAGTCTTTTAAGAAACATGTACAAAGGGGCAAGTCTCTCAAAGGGCAATGCTCTAACTTCTGACTACCCAAAACACTGTGTCCATGTCTGTCTGCTTCCCCTGGCTGCAATCTGTCTCCATGTAGGCATTTTCTACCCCCTCACTAAATGCAATGTCATGCAGAACAGTCAAAGGGAAAGGGAGACGGATTAGTAGGTGGATCGATGGCCGATATTAGTGCTCTTTCATGTTGAGTTGAAGAAGGATTTGAGGTCATCAGGAGAGACGGCAGCAGGAGAATAGACTAAGCATTCAAAAGACTCTCTGGATTAAAATCCTATTAAGCCCCCATGAGCTTCTCCAGGAGGCATTTGAGGAGGTTGGGGCTTCTTTAACCCGTCACCATAATTAACCTTCCCTCAAGCTGTTTCGGGTGGGGAACGTTAGCAATTAAGAAACTGAGGAACTTTCATTCTCTGTCACCCACGCTGCTGTCTGAATGGTTTAGCGACTAGAGGGGAAAGTGGTTTAGCGTAATTGCTTTGAGGGGTTCAGGTCCCTCACTTGAACCTGCTGTCAGCCTTGCCCCTGAGATCTGAGCCCCTCATTAAAAAGGGCATTTTGTCTGGAGAAAGAATCAAAGATCCGGATCTACTCCTGCGCCTCCTTCCTCTCATCTTTCCCCCGGTGACACTGACAGGAGGGGACACTATACAGAGCAATGCTCCTCTCAAAAGCCAGCTTCCAAACTCACAGTCCTCCCTACAGATCTGCCCCCGGAGCCCTGACAGCCAGCCTCTCCCTGCTGGGGTCACCTCCACATCTGCCAAGCCGCTCTAGCAGCTGCTGAACCACAGGTGGAAACGGCTATTCGCAGAAGTGACAGTTACACAACACGTTTCAAAGAGTGAGCACAGGCTGTTTCTTCTTTGCTCCCGGAAGATTGCCACACACACACACACACACACACACACACACACACACTTCAAAGACCAGCACCCCGCCATCCTGAGCAATGAGGTGAGCAGCCTCCTGAGGAATTAGTTTTGTGCTCCTCCTCGTGTCTAAGGCTCAGCAGTAGTTGCAGAGTTGCAGGATACGCCTCTGGAGGGAAACGTTAGCTTTTCTACTTCCTCACTGGTGGATCCCGAGAGTCACGTGATAAAGGCATCTGTCTCCTACAGCCAAGGCCCCTCTTCTATGTCTACCTGGGTGTCTTGTCCCCTCAGCCAGACTGAGCAACTCAGGAACAAGCAGTTGACTTATTTTTCTCCAGCCCCTACCGCAGTGTCTGACATAGATGAGTTAAGTCATTAATATTCTCTTGCCTATGACCACGCAGAATGTGCTGTCTGCCTTAAGGCAAGTCACGACCACCATTTTCATGATACAAAGCTTAGGGGTCTGTGGAGCTGCGTGACCTCTGAGGTCGTATTCCAGCTCCTGGAACCTATGAGGAGAGGATTTGTACAAGCTGGATTGCTGCGGCTCCTGTGGCTTTTCCACCTGTTTATAGCAATGATAATAATGACAAGAATATAGGGCATTTATGAATCCCCTAAACAACCTCTGCTCTATTTCCAGTGCCTGGAGGTATAATTTCATTAGCCACAGAATGTCAGGGATTCTTATTTCTTCCATTGGATGCAGCTGGAGGTTGTCAGCATTAGTAATTTGCTCAAAGTCACACCAAGTGTGTGATGTATTTGTCCAAGAATCTGGGCTCTTAACTGTCTCTCTCTATCCCCTCCAAGAAGCTCCTTCTGGAGCTTCCAGCTCAGACTGCAGCCTTCCAGCTGGCCCATGTACATCTTCCTCGTTCTCCAAGTGGCGCCTGCCTGCCTGCCTGCCTGCCTGCTGCCTGTAAATTTCTTTGATTTCCAACTCCAGAGTCCAGCTGCCTCAGCCTCCACCTGCTCCAAGCAGAGGCAGAGCTTGCCCCAGGACCCAGCAGGCCCTTTGTCCTGTGGGTCTAAAGTTCCTGTTGGGAGCAGGTGGCCTGAAAGGCAGGAGAGGACAGGCGTCAGCCTGGGAGGCAAAAGGAAGGAGGTGAAGACATCTGAAGAGGAAGAATTGCAAGGGTCCCTCCTGAGACCTGAGCCCATCTGACCACTCTGGGCAAGGGCAAGTCAGAGATGGGGCTTCCTGTCAGAGTTATACCTCTGAGAGGAGAGCGTGGGGAAGACACCCTTGGTAGAGTCTTGGGGAGCTGCCTTTCAGGACCTGAAAACCTGATCCAGGTTTGGCATGCTGTAAAAATTTGGAGAAAGCTCTTTGGTTATGGCAGATGATTGTAGCCCAGGAATTTAAAAAAAATACACAAGAAGTTGCATGCACAATACACTGGATTTGATCCCTGGTTCTGTATAACCTGGATATGGTGGAGCACACCTATAATCCAAACACTTGGCAAGTGGACACTGACAAACCTATTATCCAAACACTTGGCAAGTGGACGCTGGAGGATCAGAAGTTCAAGAGCAAGCTCACTTACTTAGTGAGTTTGGAACCACTCTGGGCTACACAGTATCTTGTCTTTCAACATAACATATTCAATGAGAACAAGAAACAGTTACACTGAAGAAGGGGGAAGGGACTAATGATTGTGTCAATGCTATGTGAAGCTTTGGTCTAGTTCCTGGGCTTACTTCCTCTCCCTTATATGCACCTTTAAGTTGTCATCGGTTTTTTATGACAACAGTGCTGTGTGGTTGATACACACTCTCACCTGTGTTCTTCTCCTTGTCTCGGGACAACTCATGGACAGTGGCGCCGATGTCCTGCCGCAGGCTCTTGATGATGCTGCCCAGAGAAGGCATGCTGCGCTTATCCAGGTACGTGAAGAACTCGTACTCATCTTTGTGTACCCGGGAGGGTCGGGATTCGATGTGAGTCAGGTTGATGTCATTCTCCTGCAGAGACAAAGACAGGTGGGAGGGGCCGGCCTTCGTTATCTTCGTTACCGCTACAGGACAAGACACAGAGCCAGAGTTTAACACAAGACAGCAAACCAGAGTTGAAGAGCAGTTTGTTTGTTTGTTTGTGTTTTGGTTTTTTTTTTGCATGAATATAAGGAAGCCCTTATAGTTCTGGAAGCTTTCAACCTTCTGCAAAGCCAAGCACCAACCGACAAGAGGTAGGAACAGTAAGTCACACACCTCCGAACTAAACTACATGGGGACCTAATAAAGAGCCTCGAATTGCCTACAAAGGATTTGGGTTGGGATCAAAGGCCTAAGATAGTAGCAGTAGTGATATTTACATGGGAAAGTCTCCCATTTGCCCAATGAAATTCCACAGAATCTTGATAGATAATATTGACCCAACATTGTTTTGCTTGAATATGGTCCCTAGGACTTAGGCACTGTGTCTGTAAGCTCTAACTTAGAGCAGATATAGAGAAACGCTAGACAACTGACTTTCATGCTTCTGCATCCCTCAGCTGCCCCATCTTCACACAGGTGGTTTAGTGATCCCTGTTCCATGAGCTTTTAGGGGGGGGGTCTTTGACAAGTGAACACACACACGTACTCTGATGGGTGCAACCCAATGCTCAGACCTACTATTAATATCATCATATGTTCATCTAAGTCATTTGGTAATTACACAGACATATAATTAATATTACACATGAAAGTATACTTAATGCTTTTAATATATATATCACTCACTAGGTGCTAATCACTCTCTAGATGAACCAAACAGACCTAAATTCTTTTCTTTTTAAATTCAAATGGAGGGAATGAAAGCAACAGCTATAAAAGACAACTAACCTATGTGTTCTTTTCTAATGGCAGGGGATAACATATGTAAGGCAGAGCCGATGAAGCAGATCAACTGTCCTGGGGCTAGGGTTAGGGTACACTGTAGAATTTAAGAGGATCTCTGGATGAGGCCTTCTTAAGAAAACAAATCAGATGCACATCCCAAAGGAGTTGCTATATATGAAGATCTCATGGGGGGAGTAATTGGCCTAGAAGAAGTGAAAAATGAAGTCTAATAAGTCAGAATAACCACAAAGAGAAGGACAGCTATGCAAATTATCTTAAAGAATGTACCCTTGATTCTGAAAGAAATGAGGGCCTTCATGAGGTTTTGAGTATTATCTTAGCATGATCTCATTATCTTAGTATGATCAACCTGACATCCATCTTGAAACTGAACCTCATTGACCCGACAGAACCACCAAGTCCTGCTAAGAAGTCACTGGTGACATCCCAATGGGATGTGATGGTGGCCACAGCCATAGTGAGGACGAAAGGGATAGGAGGAGTCACAGGCTGTGTGCTTCATGAAATAGCCTCGACAATCAAAATTATAAGGATCATGAGAGGAGTTTGTGGATAGAAAAATTGAAGAAGAATCATCACTAGATCCCATTCCATCCTCAGATTTGCTAGTGTGACTAAATGAGAAGTCAGAATTCCTAAGAACACACACACACTCCTTCCGCAGAGTTTTTCCTTTGAATACAATATTATAGCATAGCTAGAGAGATGAACTAGATACTTCTTATTTGACATTAGCCACCTATACCATATCTGCCCCCATCACACCATGTCTTAAATATTTACTTATTTGCATGGTGTGTGTGTGTGTGTGTGTGTGTGTGTGTGTAGTGTGAGCACACTTGAGCACAGTTGCCATATAATGTCTAATAATGAGTTCCAAGACAGCTAATGCTATATAGTGATATACCATCTCAATAAAAAAAAGCAAGAGAAGGAGAAGGGGGAGGAGGAGCGGGGAAGAGGGAGCAGAAGAAAAAGAGGAGAAAGGGGCAAGGAAGAAGGAAGGGAGAGGAAGAGGGAACAGAAGAAGAGGTTGAGAGGGGAGAGGAAGGAGACTCAGAGAAGGAGGAGGGGAGGGGAAGAGGGAACAGAAGAAAAAAAGGAGGAAGAGGAGAAAATAGAGGAGGAGAGAAGGGGGAGGAGGGAAAGGGGAAGGCAGTAGCAGCATCTTGCTTTGGGAATAACCACAGAACAATTTAGATACCATGACTTCATTTTTTTAATGATACTGGAAATCTAACTTGGGGGAAAAACTTCTCTAAGTCTTTCACCAAAATTTGTAAGCTAACTAAACACCATCAGCAGGGGAATGATGCAATGGACTGTAGGACCAAAGGAAATTCTATAATGCAAGCAGCACAGCTTTCAGAATGCAAAATATCCACACCAAGTCCATTGTAGCTGCCTGGTAACAAAATATCCGCAAGTCCATTGTAGCTGCCTGGTAACAAAATATCCGCAAGTCCATTGTAGCTGCCTGGTAACAAAATATCCACAACAATTCCATTGTAGCTGCCTGGTAACAAAATATCCACAACAATTCCTTTGTAGCTGCCTGGTAACAAAATATCCACAACAATTCCATTGTATCTGCCTGGTAACAAAATATCCACAACAATTCCATTGTAGCTGCCTGGTAACAAAATATCCGCAAGTCCATTGTAGTTGCCTGGTAATAAAATATCCACAATGTTTCCATTGTAGCTGCCTGGTAACAAAATATCCACAATGTTTCCATTGTAGCTGCCTGGTAACAAAATATCCACAATGATTTCATTGTAGCTGCCTGGTAACAAAATATCCACAATGATTCCATTGTAGCCGCCTGGTAACAAAGCATCTGTAAGTTCTGCAGCCCCAGGGGTTGGCTGTCTTACTCACTTCAGGGTCTCCATCATCTATACAGGACCTGACAACAGGATCTGCTCCGAAGATAGTAACTGGTTCATAAAACGAGGGGCATGAGGTGGCCAAACAATGGCTGTGTGGGAGGAGTGCATCTCTGGCTAGGGGTGGAGCAAAGGAAATGCGCGTGGCAAATATAGACGGTTCCCTTTCGATTGCTTCTAGAAGATCAATCGTATCCATGAAGGTGGAGTATAAATTCAGAACTGAAGCTTTTCACCTCCGCTGGTTAAGCAGTCTACTTGAGACTACCAGAGAACGTCTGAGATGACCTTATATCTCAAAGCTTTGCCGATCTGTTTGTCTACTCCCTTCCCTGGGAAGTCATGGGCACACGAAGAAAAAGTTCTTTTGCAGCTTCCCCCAAGGAGACCGCTTCTGACTGTATGATTCACCCCTAAACGTCTTGTAAAAAAGGCTGTTTTCCTAAGAAACATGATATGTGGGCTGGTAGGGGCTAAAAGCAGAGTGTTATGGAAAATGTTTAAATAAATGCATAAGGAATTGAGATTTAAAGCAATCTCCTGAGGACAGCGGGTGTCTGTAGGTCAGTAAAGGAAGATTTGAGCGTGTTCCTAATGGTTTGAACACAAATTACCAGACATCTACTTAACTTCTAGCCATCACTCCACAAACACAGTAATCTATGTCTCTTTAAATACAGGTTCCGTTGAGAGGCATTCTGATGTAGCTACCAGCTGAAGCCCATAAGGCCAGTGATGGCCAAAGTGGCTCCTGAATGGGGTGGTGACTTTGAGCTAACTGCCATGGAATGAGGAACCTGAATGAAAAGTACAGCATCCTGACGAGTCGAGGGGAGTCTATACACACCCTATAGACCTGTCTTTCTCCAAGGAGTGAGCATGCTTTCGTGTTTCTGACTAGGAGTTGAGCTAAGAAAGCTTCCGGATGGCATTGTGGATTAAATTGCAGGGCTATTCAATCAGAAAGCTGTAGGAGATGTGTGATTATCCCTTTATGAAATGCTTTTCCCTCTCAGGTCAAGATTGAGAACATGGACTTTGACACTCTGTTTCTATTAAGGAAGATAGGTGTATCTACAGCACAGCTTTTGCTCTGATGTCCTTTGAGGGGGTCTATTTTAGCAGATGCAAGACTTGAAACTAAAGCCTCCCAGTGCCCTCCATATTAGAGAAGTCACCTGTAAACAATTTGGCATACTCTCCCTGTATTTCTAACACTGCCCCCTTGTCTCTGGCACTAAGAAGATTTCTAGGAGTCTCCTTCCATGGGCAGCCTCAGGTGAATAGGAGAATATTCCCATCCCAAGCCTTCTCTCTTCGCACCAAATAAACCTCATTCTTGTACTAGTTTTCCTATAACCAAGAACTTAGAACCCTTTAGGCTCTGTGACTCCATTGATATAGTACACAGAAATAATTACAACAAACATTTACTGAGTTCTTTATCTACGTTAGTTACTCTTCTAATTAGTTTTCACAGAATAATGGGTTTGATTTTTGTGGGAACCCTATAATACGTTTGTTATTACTATCACCTTGAAACCGAGGAAAAGAAGCCAAGACTTTTAAACAGCTTGCTTACAGCCATCTCTCTTTCAGGCAGAGCAGCTGGGTTTTGGTTCTAAACAGGAAACTCTTAACTTTAATCGGGTTCTTTATGGCGGTGCCACACATTCAGACTGCTGTTTTGGCAGTTTCTCCAAATTGAAACCTTCCATCTAGGAGGAAGGAGGAGGCTCCTGAGTCTGAGAAAGGGAAAACTCAGAAGGTTCTCGTAGGAGCTCCGCAGGTTTACAGCAGCTGTCAATTGTTGCCCTGGGAGGAGCTCCGAACAGCTGAGCTGCAACAAAAGTAGGTGTCCCAGACCTGTGGACTGTCTTGCAAGTTGTGCAGAGAGCTCTGGGGTTGCAGCTCGCGGGCGTGGTCACCCATATGGGGTTGCATGAGAGGACTCTGGTGAAGCAACTGCCTTTTTTTTTGAGCATCGGCTCAAGAGTTTTGCATAACGCTTTGCCACTTTGCCCAGACTCCGTATAGTGACCCCATTAAAAATTCATTGGTCCACGAGCTTGGACTTTGTTGCAGTCATAACTTGTTGTGGGGAGCGAGCGGTGGGCTGCATTCCTCCCGGATCCCAGCTGCCTGGCTAGGTTATGCCCCGAAATAATTACACGGAAACTGTATTCTTTTAAACACTGCTTGGCCCATTAGCTCTAGTCTCTTACTGGATAATTCTCACATTTTGATCTAACCCATTTCTGATATTCTGTGTAGCACCACGAGCTGGCTTACCAGGAAAGATCTTAACCTGCATCTGTCTGAAGTGGGAGAATCATGGCAGCTGCCTAACTTGGCTTCTTTCTCCCAGCATTCTGTTCTGTTTACTCCGCCTACCTAATTTCTTTATTTAACCAATGAAATAAACACAAAACAGAAGACTCCCACATCAATAACTTTGGTCTCTTGTGGGCCGAGTAGAGGCGTGTTGTGTATGTGTGCTCTATCTCCCCAGGAAAAGGCTTGCACCCAATACATTAAAGGTGAAAACCTAAGACAGCATAAGTTTAATAAAATACTAAAAGCTAGAAGATACTATGAGTTCCCTAAAGAAGGTGCCAAGGGCGAATGTGTTTAAGAAATACACAAAGTGTGGCAATGGTCTTCCCACCGCAAGCTAACCAGTCCTTAACATGCCTGTGTTCCCTGTGGCTCTCCAAAACCCAGGTCTAAGACGAATTGTCAGAGTTCTTTTCTAATGACATAGAATTTGCTAGAACGCTTCTTAAAGAAAATACTGCCTTAAAGTACTTCAGTTTCTTCCAGTTGCTTCATCATTTGCCACTTTTGATTTCACTTTTTATGTCCAGAACCTTTGTCAGAACACAGAGGTGTGATAACAGATACAGACATGCAAAAGCACCATGACCTCAGCACCCTCCCCTTCGTCTGCCAAGCTCCTTTCGTTGGTCAGAAGTGTGGGTGTCCCAGAGTGACCATGGACATGGAAGCCTGAGACCCGGGGTTCAAATTCACCTCCACTCCTCCTCCCTGTATGATCTCCTTGCAGAGCCTCCGTTCCCTCATCCACACGGTAAAAGGATGGCTTCCACCCGAGTGGAGAACCTGTGTCTGGCATCTATGTGTGGTGACACGGGCACAAGAATTTGTTTTCTCCCTTCACTCATGACTTCGAGTGACTACCATCTGACTGTGAACTTTACCAAAGTGTTAATCGGCTTTAAAAGGTGGACTGGGATGGAGAGTTCCTACGGCAATTGTTGAAGGTGCGGGAAGGGAAGAAATCAATGCATACCATCTACAACAACCTCCAACCAACCAACCAGGGCGTCTACAACAACCTCCAACCAACCAACCAGCGCATCCAGCTCTGTATCCTTCTCAGCAGGATGGGTAAAATAAGGCCCTCGAGGAATTGAGAGTTGGGTAATGCATGAATCCAGTCAGAGTGTACAAGTACACACACACACACACACACACACACACACACACGGGGTGCTCTCCAACCAGCTCAGCTAATTTATTACTTGTGGTTTGTTTATTAGACTGTAAACAGCCTCTTCATTTATTATTATTTAATCCACTAATGCTGACCTGGTCCCAAGGGGCAACTGTTCAAGAAAAACATGTGACTCCCTAGTAGGTTCCCTAATAGGCCAGTCCAAAGGCTAAGTAGGCATGCTGGAGTATTCTGCAGAAACCTTCTGAGACAGCATTCTGATCTCTCCACTCCCTCTGCTTGTGCTTGGGCATTCGTCTCCCCTCAACTACCACCACCACTTTAGAAAGTCGGGTTCTCTGTTTTAAATACACTTGGGTTTCTAGAGTAATTCTAGATGTCCAACATGGATTCACAGGATGAAGCTGGCACAGTCTTAGAGCCCTTGCTGGGCACGAGCAGCACTCTGGGTTTCATGCCTAGCACCTGAGTATCGTTACTGAGATTTCATGAATTTGTATCTAGTGTCATGTGGTCATGATGATGGCTGATCTTCATTGTCAGGTTGATTGATCTGTAATCGCCTAGGAGGCAAACATCTGGATGTGTTTGTGAAGGGGGAGACCCTACCACTATTCAGCTACATTGACACAATAGTAAACCAACTCCCAATGACTTATTATTATATCCACAGGTGATGGCATCTCTGAACTCTCATCAGAGAAGTTTCTGTTTTTAGTAGGCGGTGATTAACAGAGACCCCCAGTTAGTCAGGGTACAGCGAATAAGAGACTAGAATTCTCAGCCCTAAATGAGGCATGTGTATTAAACGCCTTCTCCATCTTCCAAGGCTCTGGAATCACTGCAGAAGGAGTGGGAAGATTGCCAGAGCCGAGGACAATGGACGACTAAAGCAGAGGAGTGTTCTCCAGACATGGCATTGTGGCTGTGCATGTGACCTCACAACAGTGGCAACAGCACAAGCCCAAGCCAGACAAAATCACAGCATAGAAAGCAGAGGTCGACCAGAAGTCTCAGCCTTAGCTCAGGCGCAATTGGCACATGATTGCTGGGGAAAGAGGGAGAGTCGGTTTCTTTTTAAGCGTGTGGACCTGGCAGGTCAACCAAGTTGGGTAGCAAGGGTAGGAAAAGGGAAAAGATCTGGGAGAAATTGGAAGGGTGAATATGATCGAAATATTTTACACAAAATTCTCAAAGAACTAATGGAAAAGAAATTTTAAGAAATGTTTTCTTAAGAAAAAAATACCAAGACTAATGATCATGGCATTGCCCAAGATACCCAGGAACGAAGCACTTACCTCAAACAAACGCAGGACCTTGGCTAGGGCACCGACTTCTTCTTTGAGTGAGAAGAGCAGAGACACAGCCCCATTTTGGTTGGAGTTGTCTTCAATATAACTGGTCTCCTGCGGAATTAGATCACCTGGTTAAAACGTTTTCCACAGCTTAGTAATTATTCCCTCGAAACCGCCAAAGAAGAGGCCAGCACAAACAATTTCTCCTCCTCCTTAAGCTTCTGAACAAAATGAACTACATGCATTCTGCACAGCAGCAGGCAGTGAGGTCAGAAAGAAGTAAGTAGAGAACAATGAAATAATGATGTCACTCCTGGGTAGACTTTAGAAGCTCGAAGCTCAAATTGCTCATCGATGCCCATAGTCACTGGCAAAAATCAATATATTTTAATGATCACCCACCTAGTACCAGATCATATCCCACATCTTGGAGAGATAGAAATCTGAATTAAGGGAAACACACCTTTCCTTTCAGTATCAAAATTCTGACTAGCAGACACATAGTTAAGAAGCCAGAAGATTCAAGTGCTCCCAAAAATTAAAAATTCACCTTAAGAAAACACTGGGAAACACAAGGTGAAAAGACATTAAAAATGGACATTCACAGGCTGTGGGTCCAAAGGCTGAGTGTTATCCTCTCTTATCCATTCATCACCAGAACCGTTTGGAGCAGATCCCGTTACCTCATTCCCTCACCTATGAAATAATAGTAAAAACAAGCTCTGGCCAAATACTATCCAAATGTTGAAAAAAGAAAAATGCTCACATTTGTTTAAACTTATTTAAATAGAATATTGGCATGGTATGTATAAAATGATAAAACTATTATGATCAGATGATGGGTACCTTCAGTGAAGGAACAAAAGAAACTGGAATAAGTGTGGGCATTTCACGGTTTGTTAAGACATTTTTCCTAAGTTTTAAGATGATTCACAACATTCCGTGTGCACCCCCCAATATACATCATGTCCCTAAAATGGGAAGAACTGTTACTCTCTCGTATGCAAGTTAATTAAGCTAATGGTGTGGGTATTCCATCCTCTCAGGGACCGAAGGCAGTGGCGGGAAGATTTTTGTCAGGGACTCAGAATAATAAACAACAAAGGGCTTCCCTGTTTTAAGTTCACTTCTCTCTTGACTTCCACAAAAAGTGGGGTGCTGAAGATACATGCCACCTCAGAGTCGAAGACACCTGTGGTAGAGACCCAGGTGCCCACCTCCACCACCCCTCTCCTGTGTGTGTCCAGCACCCAGAGACCATGGCCATCTTCCCCAGAGATGATTCTTAAGAGTCAGGTAATTGTCTGTTCTTCCCACTGCCATCCCAAGACTCTAACTCTGAGTGCTCCCCAGTGATCCTGTCCTAACAGGGTTCTTCCCATGTCCTTCATTATCAAAATCATGGTTAATACATTTTAACCACAGGCAATTTCAAAACCACTGATAATGAATATATAACATCATGGTTCTTAAATCATAACATAATCCTGCAACTGTCTACAAGTTCACATTTGTGACCTAACATGATCCTACACTGCCGTTATTAGTGCCAGTACCCCCTGTCTGCTCCTGTATGGACATCCAATTACAGGAACCAAACCATGTCCTTTTATGCTCAATACATGTTGTCATTGGCAGCAGCTACCACTCTTTGCATGGTCCCTGGGACAGGCTATTTGGTCCTCACAAGGGGAGTAATGGAGGTGCTGCTGCTTTGAAAATGAAGACACCAAGTTAAATAGATCAAGTGGCTTCTCCTAGGCAATCCAGCTAATGCGTACAAAATCTGTGCTTGAACCCAGGTTGAGGGGGTCTCAAAGCCACCATTACTCTGCTTTCCAGTGACAGGCTCAACTGTCACAGTGGCTCCTTCTTTTCAAAGCAGGAAGGACTTTACATGAAAAGAAACACAGAGAAGTTTGTGAGATGGGGTGGGCCTTCGTGGATCTGAATTCCAAGTTCGCCCAGTCAATCCTGGGCCCATGAGCATATATCTTTCATAGTAATTTGGTTGGTTTGGGAACTATGCCTTCTTTGATTCTTACAGACATGTTGATTGGCATATAAGCAAAACCACCTTCAAAACTGTCTAGGAAGAAACCATGCACGGAAAAGACCTGGGAATCAAGGAGTGAGAAACTTCGGTCATCGAGCAATGCACTCTGCAATAAACACAGACTGTTCTCGTTAGCCATGCAGTGGACGCAAACGCCTTCTGTTACCACTGGAAAGAATTCCCTTTCACCTTCACAAGCAATGCGGTCTGTCAAGGATGCCCTAGGGCCAGTGCTGGTGATCTGGGGCTGACAGAAGACGTGCACATTTTTGTATGTGTGGTTACAACCCCTTGCACACATCCACAACGAAGAACTTTTGAAAACAAGATATGAAGGTCCTGAGGAACGTGTATCTGTGCGTCAGGGGGTAGAGATATACTATGTCTTCATATTTCAGCATTTTTCCACAGGAGGAAAGGTTGCCGTGAAGCTGCGTGCTCAGCCATGGGAAGCAGATTAGATAGAACACTGGCTGCCCTGTCCCTGCTGGTGGCTCTGCGCTCCTCACTGATCCCGCTACTCTGCTTAAATTTTCTTCACAGCTCCTGTCTCTATATGAAACTATATTATGCTTTCATCCTGTTAATTCCTTTGTCATTTGTCATTTCTCTCCTGAACTAAAGTAGTTTTACCGGAGGGAAAACACCGCTGTAATTAGCACACAGTGGGTGCTTCTTGACCTATTGGCGAATGAAGGCGCCAAACCACTCAGTCCCACAGGCTGACCGCACATATTGTATGCCCTCAAAGAGTGGAGTCTCCTTCCTGCAATCTCCCTCTTAGTAGGATTATGCCAACTATGTGCTGTTTATCTGGGTAGGAAGCTTTAAGAAGATGCGAACGGTACTCTGTACTGGCAAGACGGTTCAGCTGATAAAGGTGCTTGCTGTCGAGTCTGACAACTTCCATAGCAAGGGCTCATACGCTGAGAGGAGAGAGCTGCCTCTCCACAATGTCATCTGACCGCTACACACGCTGTCGCATACACTGCGTCTCCCCACACACAAGTAAATTAACGTAATAAGGAGTTTTAAGAACACATAAATGTGCCGCGAGGCGGAGCTAGAAGACACCGCAAGTTCCAGCATCCCATCTCCATTTTATAGACACCAAACAACCTCCTCACACCCACCAAAATGGCTCCATTATGCATAGCTTTGTAGACGCGAGTCTCCAAAGAGGACAACCCTGGTGTCTTGACTGTGTTTGTGGAAGATTTCCCACGAGCAAGTGACACCAGGCACGACATCTGCCTTGCCGTCTGTCCTTCCTGCACTTCAAGACCCAGGCTGCTGAACAAACAGCTTTGGCCAAATCCACACTGACAGTTTCAAATGCTCTAGAAACTGTAATAAAGTATGCATAGGCATTGTTTAATTTTCATCTTGACCCTAGAATCTGAGGGGGTTTATTCCTATTTTCGAAGAAAGATGCACTGCCTCTAATGCTGAGGCTGAACCAGGACATGTTTGGATCCTCTTCTAGGGTCCCCGTTATGGGTAGAGACAAACTGTGGATTCACAATCACTTAAGGGTCTTATAAATACAGCTGTGAGACGCTCCCCTTGGTTTCCCACCCCCACATCACTGGCTTAAGCTCCCCAGATGGCCAAGTGGCTGTACCAGCAACACAGGAGCCTAGAACAGAGCAGAGTCAGGATCTATGGACTGGCCTGCCTGTCCTTCATACCAACCGTCTTCAGCACTAAGTCTCTGACCCCAGGCATCCCTCAGCTCTCCATCCTGACAGAAGATGAGCTCACAAAGTGTCCCCCCGGGTCCAGGGCATGATGACAGCTACAGAATTGTTCTGATTTTGACATCCACTCTCTCCTAGGGTCCTGAGGAGAGACAGTTCCCAAGGATTGCACGCAGCAGCTACCTGTGAGTCCATTTCCTCCAAGGTCTGAATCTCGGTATTCAGACCATGATTCCTGGCCTGGGTCAAGTATATAAATCATGGTAAAGACTATTTTCTGCAAGAGCTCCTGGAGAGGACAGGAGGGGACAGGCTCCTTCCACCTCCAGCAGGATTCCGAAGGCATACTCAGACTCAGGGCTAACTCCTATTTATTTTCCTCTCGGTTTATTTTCTCCTTCATCACATCTGAGTGAGTCCCCAAATTCTCTTCATGCTACATCATCTCCTGAAAGTTAAAGAAGGGGGGCGTCTTACTTTCTTCTCATTTCCATACCCAGAAGAAAGGGTTGTATGGCCATCACTGGAGAAATGCAGCGGGACCTGCTGCCCCAGATGACTGAGGACCCACCCTCTCCTTTCAGAAGATAAAGCAGATAACACAGGAAACCTATCCCTGTGAGGTCTCTTGTAGACCAGCCTGGACTACATAGAGCTAGTTTCAGGACAAACAGGCTCCAAAGCTACAGAGAAACCCTGCCTCGAAAAACAAAAAACAAACAAACAAACAAACAAAAAACCCAATGAGTTATCTAAAGACACACAGATGTGGGAGCTGCTCTGGCAGTCAGATCCCCAACCTCTCTGCATCCTTAAAGGACAGATGTCCCTCCACTCGTTAAAGATGGTCCTGTTAATTGACTTCCTGGGGCATTTTCATCATCTTTACATAAATTCCTATTTCTTGGTGACCTCAGGAAATACAAGTGTTCCCCAGACTGTTTTCACATCGGCGAATCAAGTCTCTCCCAGCTCCGGAGGCTCACCAGGCTCACCTGTCCAAAGTCTGAGAACTTTCTTCTCAGGACTGGGCGATCCAGGATCACAGCCGACATGCTGGCTTCCAATAATTGGGGTCTCTAGCTCTCCGCAACAGGGTCTGAAAGGTTTGCTCTCGGGAGGCGAGGCTAATGGTTTTAACCTGGCTCTCAGAAGGACGGGAGAGGGGCGGCTTCAAAGGGTGTCCCCTACTGCAGTCTGTGAGGTCGCTCTGTCAGTGGGCGTTGCCCTGACGTAGCAGTGTGTGGACCCTAGTCCACAGACCACGTGCAGCTGCAGGTCACTGGTCCTGGGCTGCCCCCAGGGGAGGGGTATTGGAGGGTGTGGCAGCCACCACAGGACTCATTTGGCAGACTGCCCTGGACAAGAGTAGACGGCAGAGAGCCCAGACCACCTGTATCCTGGATCTCAGACAGGTTTGGCATTGTTGAAATTTAGGGGTGCCTGGAGTAAGGATTCTCTGCACTGGAGGGAACCAGGGACAGTCTGCTGATAATGCTTAAGGATAATGCTTCCCTGGCTGCAGAGAAATAGATCCAGGCTCCTAATTTGAATGTTCTCCACCCTCAACTCCCTTTCATTAACCACCAAACCGGTCAATCTCCTTGGCATTCTTTCCTTTAGAAAACCACAGTGGATGACATTTGTAGCTAAAGAGTAAAGGCGGGAGTGCTGGGGCTGGAATCTAGCCAGTTTTAGCTGCTTACACGAGGGCTGGGGACTCTGCACAGAGGACAGACTGGCTGCCTTAGGGATGCCTTGCTAAGAGATTTCAAGTGCATCGATCATAAGAATTAGACGATGCATCAAACGTTCAATTAGTACAGTTCTTGCCACATAGTCGAACACGGGATAAGTGGAAGATAATGTTTAAAAGTCCGTCTTAAAAGTGTGACAACAGACAGCTAGGGAGCATTTGTTCTGTGTTCCCCGTGGTGTCCTAAGTGCTGGGACTACAGAGGGGGCACGTGACCTTCCTGCCGGCACTGCACCCCTCTAGCGGTCAGGCAAAATAAAACTAGTTTAGGCAGGGCCAAGCCACAGGGAAGAGGAAAATACTTGATCTAGGTAGGAGTGAGCTGATGGGTACCGGGGCGTGGTCTTCTAGTGGACATGAAGATGTCATGAACGGAGGTAAGATAATCATTGCTAGCAGAAAAAACAAAATGTAAACGCACAGGGAGGGTCAGTTTCGGAAAGATGTGAGAAGCCGGGGGCATCAAGGACTCAAAGCCTACTTAATATTTACCCAAGCAAAGTTAATGGACTGAGAGAAAACGGGCCAATAATAGAAGGTGCTAGAAGTCCACCCCATCTCCTCCCACAATTCTTTGACCTAATAGCCAGGAATCTGCCAAGAAGGAAAAACAACATTTCAAATTTAAGATTCAAAATTCAAAACACGTGGGTTAATTCCTCATCGGGCAGACGGCTGCCCCCCTCGCAGACGGCTGCCCCCCCCAGCAGACGGCTGCCTCCACAGACGGCTGCCCCCACAGACTGCTGCCCCCACAGACGGCTGCCTCCACCTGTACCTCGGTTTCTTTGTCTTTAAAATGTGGGTCTAGGGCTGTTTAGGATTCTTTTAATCTCCATAGTGCAACAGGCTTTCTCCTGAATTCTGAGAATATTGATATTGTAAGATAATTTCTGTCTAAAAGTACACCTCATTAATAATAAATAATTATCAATTATTAATTTATTATTATTGATTAATAATAAATTATTAATAATTGATGGGTGCCTCATTAAAATCCCCTCTAATAAGTTGCAAGGTCACGTTCTTGACTTTCACCTGGTTTGACTCCAAAAGCCCTCTAGAGCAATGGTTCTCAACCTGTGGGTCACAACCCCTTCGGCAAACCTCCGTCTCCAAGAAAGATGTACACTCTGACGCATAGCAGTAGCAAAACTACAGTTCTGAAGTAGCAACAAAATAATTTGGTGGCTGGGGCCACCACAACACGAGGAGCTAAACTGGGTTAAAGAGTCGCACCATTAGGAAGTTTGAGAGCCCCTGCTCCAGAGGTTGCAGATGTGAAACAGGGTGTGTCCCTTGGTTCGGGACTGTCTTAGAGATGTCACTTTGTCCCTCGTCATCGCTGCGGTGCTACAGAGGGCAAGGCCATCAGAAGAACCTGCGACATAAAAGCCCAGCCGTGAATGACGGCCGCAGTTGCCGCAGCCTTATCTGCATGCAGGGCTTCCTTTCTCCCTGGCATCCATCTTGCAGACAGTGCAGCTCCTCCGACACAGACAAAGCAATGGCTGCCCAGGAATTCTAAATCCACAGCTGGGAATTCAAACGATGTTTTGTTCAAGCCCAAAGCCTTGGCTCTTATATCTTCTTTCTTTCCTTTTTTAAATAAACACGTGGTTTTTAGAAGAACACGGCGGCCATGGCCCTTCTCTTTTCTTTGCACATCAGTTAAAAATAGAATTTTAAATCCATTTCACATTTTTTTAAATTACCCCAAGTCTAGGTTGAAAAACAAAACAAAACAGTATACTTTACTGTCTGCTCTCTCAGAGAAAAGAATACTAACAGTTTCTTAATTTAAAAAAAAAAGAGAGAGAGAGAAAAAGCTCTGTGAGCAAGGATGTGGCTTAGTTAGAGTAGTTGCCTAGCATGCTGGAAGTCCTAGGTTTGATACCCCAGCACTTCAGAAAATTGGGTGTGATGGTACATACCTGTAATCTCGGCACTAGAAAAGTATAGACAGGAAAACCAGAAATTCAAGGATATCCTTGGCTACAGAAGCAAGTTCAAGCCTAGCCTGAGCTAATGAAAACAAAATCACAACCCAAAAGAATTTGCATGGGCAAAACTTCTTTGCATTTATCTAGGGACCAACACAAACCTGACGTCACAGGAGACTGCGGGTGAAGGAAGCTTGTGGGTGATGGGCTGGAATATGGGGCGTAACTATCAAGAGCAATGCTGGGTGCCAAGACTGTGCAGAAGAAAGCACAGATCTAGGCGTTTTCACGCAGAGCGTCCGCAGAGCCCTGGAGCACTTTAGTGGGGGTGCGGGAGTGCCCTCATAGGAGATGGGCACCCAGCTCTGTCCTTGGCAGTCTTCGAGCTGACTCCGCGGGTTTAAAGGTTAAAGATTTCCCAACCATTGCTAGTTTATCGACTTCTTTCTGTTTAGCTTCATGAGCACAAGGTTGGGTTAATCATAAGTCCTGGCACTTCATCAAAACCTACGAGGCTTGAGAAAGCAAGATGAAAGAACATCCCGGGTTCCTTCTATGTGAGGTGTGTACCTGTGTGCACAGGAGTGGGTTTGCCCTGATATGTGCTGTCGCTCGAGAGATTAGGACACATAGAAGTACTGTAGGGCTCAGAATCTACTCTGAAGACTTAGTCCTGCCCCAAGATGCGAACTTGGTTCTCTGATGATCTGCTCTGATATCAAAATCACCTGTGTGTAACCACCACCATTGCTGCTGTTTGATGCAGGCTTCTGTGCTGTGACCTTCGTTGACTTTGAAAAAATCCCTCAGACTGCAGAGTGAAGTTCATTTGTTTTCACCACAGAGTGTTGCATGACACAGCTGACTTTTAGAATCTACATATTTTTAGAAAAGTATGTGATCTGTACCATCTGGTCTGCTAATGTGGCTAAACAGTAATAAGAAAATATGTAAGATTATAGCCACAGAGTTTCCAGATGTTAAATGGTTTGCATTCTAGGGTAACCTTTGTGGATGGTTTATTAATTTTAATGCACTATTGCAAATGGTTAGTTCATTTATTTCAATTTTTACATTTATTTATATATTTATTTGTGTCATGTATGTTCATGTGTAGAGAGCAGTGGACAGCTCACAGGCTCTCATTTCTCATTCCCCCACGTGGGGCACAGACCTGAACTACCCCATCTGCATCCCACAATCTCAAGCCATCCGGCTTGACGACAAGAGCCTTTACCCACCGAGCCATCTCACTGGCCCATCGGTTCACACCCCGTGTAGGATTTTTCTGCATATGTTATTGGGAAAAGTGGAACTTTCACCTCCTCGCTTGTATGTAGTCTCATTTTGAAGTAGCAATTGTAACAGTTTTATGTAGGGCCTTGCACACTTTTATACGTTAGGTAATCATCTTCAGGAGGAGAATTGTTTCGTCTTCTTAGATACATGGGGCCTGAAATGAGGAGGTGTGTATGGTGGGAAGGATGGTATCAGGGAAAAGTTCAAGGTTACATTTCAATTTAACTGTGACTCATTCCTATAGTCTTTCTCCTCATTTTATCCTTTCCCCAGAAATTAATGCAGTCTCTTAAGTGTTCCATGAAAGGAACATATCACTGTAACATTATTTTCCTGTCTATCTAGATGTGGTCCCATCCTTTTTCTCTATTTCACTATCTGTTGGTGTGTTGGGGGTAGAGTGCACACACACATAGGTGTGTGTGTGTGTGTGTGTGTGTGTGTGTGTGTGCAGAGGATGACCTCGGGCTCTTCCTTCTCAGGTGACATCCACCTACATCTCTCCTCATCCTGATACTCTGATTAGGCCAGGTTGGTGGGTTAGCAACCCCTACATGTCCTCCTGTCTCTAGCTCCCCAGTACTGGGATTACAAACACATGCCATTTCTCGCTGTCTCTTTACTCGGGTTGTGAGGATGGAACTTTGGTCCTCCTGCTCGCACAACCGGCACTTTGCAGGCCTACAGGGTCTGTGTTTTATTTATTTATATCTTCTTTCATCTTGCCAGATGTTTGTCCACATTTCATAACACCAGCCTCCTCTGGGTTGTCCCCTTTCACGGACTGTTCTCTACCTGTCCTCACTACTTCCTCGCCTGAATTTGCTTTGTTAATCTTTTCCCGGTGTCTTCGGTTGAGCGCTAATTTGTTTTCGATCATCTGTGTTTTCCTAATAAATACATTTAAAATGAATCATTTCTAAGTGCTATTGCAGGTCAGGCCCATTAATGAATTTGGCATTTGTGTGTGTTATATTGCTGCTCAGTTTGAGGTTTTGCAAATAATCTTCTCAATCACTTAAGGGTTTTAAAGAGTATATTATTTAAATTCCAGGTACTTCCTCTTTATCTCTTACTGGCTTCTACCAATTTATGGCAAAGTGTAAATCTTTTTTCCCTGAACCTATTCTAACACAGTGTGAGATGGAATATAACACCAGTAATAAATATCAAAAAGTTTCAATTCAAAGAAAAACCAAGC